GAACCCTGGGCCGATGAAGGTGACCCCGCAGAACTGGAACACTGAGCCAGCAGGGCTGGCTCTAGCCCCTGGATCTGAATACATGCAGCTCAACTCAAATAAACGCAACTCAAATACATGTGAGCTCAACTCAACTCCCACATATGCAGCGATGTGGTGCCACCAGGTACACTTGGTCCGCTTAGCCCTCTCCCCTAAACTCTCCATGGATGACAAAACCTGCTCCCTTAGCTGCTCACCCTCCTGCCTCCAATCAGGGAATAAGAAGCTGGGGTCCCTTTGTAAACAGTCATGTTTGGACCTACTCTTTCCCAACCAACTTTCTGCTGCGAGGGTGAGACTGGCAAACAGTTAGCCATTGATGAGTAAGTAGCTAGTAACTAAAGTTTTTTTTCCTTTTTGTGCTTTCTGATTATAGCTTTTAGTTGTTCCCCCACCCATTGTTAACTGCGCTGTTTAGGCAATATGCTATCTGACTCCCACTAGGTTCCTATAAACAACATCTCCCTGAAAATTGGGTCACCATGGTAATGGGTGTTTGAGCTGTTTTTCAGGAATTAGAACCCCTTGTCCACTTTGGGCCGGCTGAGACCACCAACCAATCAACTGGGTCTGCACAGATGTCTGATAAGCAAACTTTTGACATCAAGAGGGTAAAAACTCCACCTTTCAGGTCATGCTAACACTGCCATTTTGTGAACATGAGTCCTTTGAAGAGGATGAAGTCTGACTATTCTTGCACAGATCAACTACCTCACCTCTCCTCACCTCCAATCATCTATCTCCACATTTCAGACCACCTTGCCCCCTACTCCATAAATATCCCTGAGTCCCTATTTTCCAGGAAGGAGGTTTGAAACTCACTCTCTCACTTCCTCACTTGGCTGCCTTGTGATTAAACCCTCTCTCTGCTGCAGTCTCGTCGTCTCAGTGTTTGGCTTTCTGGGTGATGACCAGCAAAAACGAACGTGGCTTGGCAACAAGGGTGCAGAGAAAGGAGTCTCTGTGGCCACAAGGCTTTGCACCCATAGAATTGACTGCTCACAGTCAGCCAAGGCACAGGAGCTCTCTTGCCAGCCCCCTCCCTCCCCTCACTCCACGCACAGGGCAGAATGACAGTGGTGGAGCAAAAGGTGGCCTGTTTTATTATTTCCGGATCAAAGTTGCTGCAAATACTTTCTCTCGCCAGAAACTTGCGAGGCCAGAAGAGAATAATCCGGATTCAGCTCCTCCTGCACCAATCCACTCTCCAAACCTCGGTTGGTGATACTCAGGGGTTTTTTTGTTGATTTTCGTAAATGAAATCCTAACCCTAGAAGAAGCTGGGCACCTCCACAAGGACGTCGCTCTCCAGTAAGGACGTCGCTCTCCAGTAAGGGCGTCCTCTGCGCGGCCCATGTGAAGGGAGTCGGGACCACAGCTCTGCAACCAGCGCGCGACCAATGGACCCTGACCCGCTTCCAGCCTCTGACCCATGTTGCAAATCTGGTTTTTCCATCAAACTCCTGGAGACTGTTTCTCTCATTGTCGTTGGTCTAGAAGGGGCCGAACGACTGGAATCTGGGGAGATTTTCCTCACCCTGGCCCCGCTATCCCGATGCTCCCGGGACCCCGCAACTTGTGGATCTGGTCCAGTGGGCTGTGCGGAGCCCCCGCTACAGCGCGCGGCACAGCCCATCCCGCCCCCTCCCCGGCTCGGGCGCGCCAGCCACTCACAAACTCAAAGATGAAGAGCAAGTCGGGGCAGGCGGTGAAGACCTCGACGCCGCGGGGCAACCGCCATCTCCACATGCTGGCTTCCGCCTCGGGACAGGACGCGCGGGGCTCGGATCCGGGCTGACCGCCCTCTTGCTCAGCGGAGCCCGGTGGCCCCGGCGCTCCCGCCCGCAGGTTAAGAGCGGAGACGCCCGGGCCCCAGGAGGGAGGAGCCCGGGACACCGCCCGCCCCGCCCGAGCCAGCCCCGCGCGCCAAAGTACATGGCAGAGCGCCTCTGTCGCCGCCTTGAACCGCCTGGAGGGTGCGCAGCTGGCTTGCCGAGCTGTGGAAAAGCCGCTTTGACAAAGCGCTTCGCACGCTTTGCCCTCTTCCCAGGTGATCACCATCCCTTAAGAATAACCATCAATAACTAGGCCCCCAAAACTCCCCACCGTGGCATCCCTGGGATCAGCACCGTTTTAACTGTTCTTAAGTTGGGTCATCTTTCCACTGGGGAGGGGGGCCATTGAGACCAGCTCTGGCCGCCACCCCTTCTCCCGGGACCTCCGGAGCCGGCGCCAGGAACCCTGCACCCGCGGTCCCTTCCACTCAGTGCTGGAGCTTCCAGTCTGTCTGTCTGACAGTAGAGGTTGCTCTCAGCCCTGCCAGCCCTGAAGGTGGTGGTGGTGGTGCTGGGACAGATCTGCACTGAATCCAAGGGAAGGAAGGGCCTCCTAGAGCAGATCTATGCCCTCTCTCAGAGGGCGCAGCCCTGCGCCTCTGCAGTGCGATGACGACTCCTCCCCGTGTCCTGTGAGGACCTGTTGCTGCTGGGTTTTTGTTTTCTGGATCACAATTTCTTTATTCTTTTTTTACTTTATTTTTAAACCAGTATCACACTCCAGGAGTTTGCTTATTTTAATTTAGGTACCGTTACTGAGTTTTTTCCTACAAATCCTAAAGCTGAAAATCTGCCCACAGTCCGGGGCATGCCCCCAGCTCAGACTCCCCAGCACTTCTGTGGCTTCACCCACAGCCAGGGCAGGGCACAGCCCCCCTCTCTCCAGTGGGACCCTTACCCTTTCACCTGTACACAGCTCTTCTTCCTTCCCAGTCCCTATGGAGAGAAGTAAGTTCTTGGACACATTTAAAATAAAAAAAAAAAAAATACCCGAGCCCATGAGCTGTCCCTTCTGACCACTTATGGAGAGGAACCAGGCATTTGAAATGAGAACATCCCACTGCACCTCTGGGAGCCTCCTCGGGCTGCTGGCCTTGGTGGCTTGAAACCCAGGGTGTCCATCTCCTTCCTCCTGAGGAGCCCCTAGTGGGGACAAGCCACAAGTGGCAGGAAGTGAGATAACCCTCAAGCAAAACCATCCACAGCTGTTTGTCAATTTCTCTGTCAGTATTCACTCGTTAAAACACACAAAGGTATGCTGTGGCGGCATCCCATATGAAATAAAGGAAGATGGACATGGATGATAGCCCAGAGCCAGTCTTCCTCAGCAAAAAAAAAAAAAAAAGAGGAGGATTGGCATAGAATGTTAGCTCAGGCCTGGTCTTCCTCACCAAAAAAAAACAAAACAAAACACAAAGGTCTTGTCAACTCTTAATAATCTCTTCACCCGGCCTTGAAGTTTTTTGTATGTGTCTTGGTTGGGTTTTCTGCTGTTTCAAACCTGTGTTGCTGAATTCCTCAGGCTGGGCTGAGACTCTGGGGAGAAGGCACAGCCCCCTGGTGTAGCCCAGTGAAGCTGAGCGGCCCCAGCCCTCCTGTGAGAAGGCCTAAGAGGCCACAAAGGATTTAGGAAGGTCCAGGACCACACTTTGGTTTCCAGCAGGATATGAAAAAACCACCTCAGCCAATAGTAACTCATTGTAGTGTCCTCGGTCTTCCTAGCAGCAAAGTGGATGTGACTGTGGGGGTCAGTCTGGGATGGGTCTGGGCTTCTGTCAAAATAATAATATGGCCTAGGGTGAATTTCTGCAAAGGAGGAACTAGAAAGTGACGATTGTTGTGCCAGCCTGAGAGTGGAAGATGTCATCTCTGGCTTGGGGGTGGAGGGAATTGGGGGTGGGAGAAGGATTAGGGGAGATGGACGTGTTGAGGGAAAGATTCCTGGGGCAGGACTTGCCAGTAAATAACAGTAGGTGTGGTTTACTTTGGCATCTGTGGACTGACTCCCATTTTACTGATGAGGTGATGGAGGCTCAGAAAGGTTGAGTAGCTGCCCAAGGCCACACAGCTGTGAGTGGTGGAGCTCGGCCTTGACCCTGAGTGACACTGTGCCCCCACAGCTGCGAGCCCTTGATTAAGACCATGCTTAACGGACGGATGATCCATAAGGAAGTCGTGGTATATACATACAAGGGAATAAAATTCAGCCAAAAAAAACGAGGAAATCCTACCATTTCTGACAACATAGATAAACCTTGAAGGCAATATGCTAAGTGGAGTAAGTCAGGCAGAGAAAGACAAATACTGCATGATCTTACTCATATGTGGAATCTAAAAAACACACCAAAAAACAACAATCCCATCAAACTCATAGAAAAAGAGATCAGACTCGTGGTTCCCAGAGGAGGGGGTTGGGGGAGAGGGTTGGAGGAGGGTGGTCACAGGGTACAAACTTCCGGTTATGAGATGAACAAGGCCCAGGGACGTAACGTGCAGCAGGGTGACCACAGTGAACGCTGCTGGATGAGACGCAGGAAAGTTGTTAAGAGAGAAGATCCTGAGAGCTCTCACCACAAGGAGAAGGTTTTTTCTTTTCTTTTTATTGTATCTCTATGAGATGATGGATGTTAACTAACCTATTGCGCAATCATTTCACATTTATATGTATATCAAACCATCATGCTGTACACCTTAAACTAATACAGTGATGTCTGTCAATTATTTCTCAATAAAGCTGGAAAAAAATTCAAACAATACAGAAATGAAGAAAAAGAACCGTGCTGAAGATGGACAATTGCAATCAAATGCCATGTTCTGTGCAGACCGTCGGCAGCCACCCAAATCCAGCCTTCGTGCTCTTCTCAAATGTGGCTCTGGGCACTGGATCCCTGAGGCATCTCTGCCCGGCTGACAGGGCTCTGGACCTTCCCTCCCCTGACTGGTGACACAAGGTCGGAGGTCATTATCCCCATTTATGGACGGGGAAGCTGGGTGAAGGCCCGAGTTCAGAGAGCTACCCTGGGCCAGTGCTGACCTGGAGGGATTGTATCTGTTTAACAGTCTCCCACAGCCCTGGATTTCCACTCCTGGCAGGAAGCAACAAAGGCACCTGCTGGGACGATGGACTAATGATGGTCCCCACTCCTTGACTCTAGGAGGGCAGAGGGGAGACAGCAGTGCTGAGGGCCTACTAAGTGCCCGGACCCACCATAGGCACTTTGCCCACATGACCTCATTAACCACACAGAGCCTTTCTGGTAGCTGTCACCCCACCCTACAGGCTCAGATGGGGAGGGAACGTGCCCAGGCCACATGGAGGAAACCCAGACCTCTTGACTCCAGAAGGTGGACTGTCCCCACAGCCTCTGTGCCTACTGCATAAAATCCACTCACTTGAAACCAGAGGCGATGAGTGATTGCTCACCAGGAGCTGTCCTGTGATGGGCCGATGGGGCACCTGTGCCCTGCTGCCCCCAGTGACAATGAGCCACCACGTGTGACTGTTCTCACTTGTTCCCAACCTCTTCTAGGCTCATGTCTCTAGTCCCAGGTACACTCGGCACCCACCCCCCGAGAGAGTCATCACAGGCTCGAGACCTGAGCACGCGGCAGGGGGGTGGCACAGTCTGGTGTCTCAGGGACATGACGGCGGCGTTGGTCTGCGAGTAGGGGAGACAGAGTCCCTGCTCCCAGGCGAGCTCCATCCAGCAGGGACAGCACATCAGAGTCAGTAGACACCTGGGCTGGGCCTGCACTGGGCGCTTTCCCCTCTCTGCAGCCAGATGCTGAGAGGTGGCACACGGCCAGTCATCCCACACCCAGGTCGGGGTGGGGACAGGCCCCCATTTCTGAGCACCTCTGGGTGCACTGAAGATGTAGCAGCAACAGAGGCCCCTGCCCTCGATGCCCCATCAGTGCCAGTTCAGTGAGTGCCGGGCAGTGGGAGCAGGGCAGACAGGATCCCTGTCTTTTTGAAGCTTATCATGGGGGGAAGGAGACAGGACCAATCACACACCCGCATAATAAATGTGTAACGAGGTCTGGTGCTGGAAGGAGCCCCAAGAGCATCCACCTGCGCAGCCTGGCTTGGCCTAGGAGTCAGGGAGCTTGTGGGAGGAGGTGACCCCTGAGTGGGTGAGCAGTGGTTAACTAGGGGGAGGAGAGAGATCCTTCCCTACAGAGGAGCAGCCTGTGCCAGGCCCCAGGCCATCTCCTGGAGGAGCACTGGGCCCTGCTCCCCACACTGCAGGGCTGCAGTGTAAATAAGGAAATCCATCAGAGAGTCAGAGGCACTCGGGGAGGGGCGGGAGGGAGAACGTGGGCAGCCACGGGAGCCCAGGGCAGAAGGAAATGGGCACAGGCAGCGAGTTCTGGAAGAAGAAGACAGGTTGATGCCCACAGGGCAGTCTGAGGAGGGCCTGTGCAGAGAAGAGGGAGAAGGGACATGCCAGGCCAGGGGAGCAGCATGGATGAGTCCCAGAGGCCGAGAGCCTTTGATCTCTGTGGGGAGCAGGGGGGCTCCTGGGGCAGAGCTGGAAAGGCCAAGGGCAGGCTGGGCTCAGGAGAAAGAGGCAAAATTTAAAGAGTATAAAGCATCCATCAAGCTTAGTCATTTCCCCTCTTTGGCCCTGAGAGTAATGGGCTCATTCCGTCTGCCCCAGAGAAGGGCCGGACCCTGCACCTCTGCCTGAGAGCTCACGACCTGCCCAGTGAGGTGCACCAGGAATTTGGCCCAAGTTGCCCAAAACATGAGAGGCGCAGAGCAGGGCTGGGCCAGTGGGTCCTCGGAATGCAGCCTCAGTAGGTTGCGGCCGGGCTGCCTGCTCCCGAGTTAAGCACTTTCCTTCCAGGTTTCATCTACAACACCCTTCAGAGAGCCTTTGCCACACAGCGAGCTTCTTAGATGGGGAACCAGTTGTTGAGTGAATATCAGAATTTAGCAGATGCATCCTGGAACAGCCTTGGCCCCAGCCTTTCACTCTCAAACTCATCCTTCTACCTGGGCTTCCTCCA